TCTGGAGACTATATTCTAGTGGAAGGAGATAGTCAAAAAACTTTAAAAAATAAGTAATGCATTATAGCATGGTACTTTTAAGTGTTATGGGAAAAAAAAAGCAGGATAAGGGGATAAGAAGTGCTTTTGGGGAGGAGTTAGTTTGGAGGGTTGTAGCATTAAAGTGTTAAGGGTAGAGATCATTGAGGTGACACTTGAACAAAGCTATGAAGGAAGTGAAGGAATTAGCTGGGTAGATATCAAAAGAAAGGTCATCCAGGCAGATGGAACAACATAAGGCAGGGAAGACCCAATCACAGGAGTATTTCCTCTGTACTTGAGGAACAATAAAGAGATGAGTGTAGATGAAGTGGTATAAGCAAGAGGCAGACAGAAAAGTGGGTGAGGGGAAATGTGAGGCCAGACTGTGTAGGGTATTGTAGTCCAGTGGAAGGATTTTGGCTTTAACTCTGAAATAGACAGTCATTTGAAAGATTTGAGCAGAGTGACATAGTTGACTCACATTTTAATAGAACTGGTCCAACTTCTATGTTGAGAATAGACTGAAAGGGAGACTGAGTGGAAGCAGAGAGATCCATTTGGGGGCTACTGTAATAATCCAGGTAAGAGAGGATAGTGACTAGGACCTGATGATGGCATTAAAGGTGATGAGAAGTGTTTTAATTATTGAAGGTGAAGCCAGTGGTTACTTGCTGGCCAGTGGTTACTTGCTAATAAATTGGATGTGTGGTAGGAGAAAAAGAGAAAAATAAAGGATGGCTCTAAAATTTTTCAAATGAGCAACTGGAATTGCCATCAACTGCGAGATGGGTAAGGTTGAAATTAGACTTGATGGAAGGTAGGGAGATAATTAGCTCAGTTGTGTTCATGTGAAGTGAAAAATGCTTATCAGACACCCAGGTGGAAATACAGAAAGAAAATTGGATATACAAATCTAGAATTCAAAAGGGTCTGGGCTGAGTTGAAATGTTCAGAATTAGCATATAAATGGTATTTAAAAGCCATGCGGCTAGACAAGATCTCCCAGGGAGTAAGCATAAAAACAAAGCCAAGGATAGAGCCCTGGCACACACTTGAGGCACTTCCAACAACAGGGTCAGGTTCTCTCCTCTGGGTTCCCACCCACTCCAGGAACTCCCTCTGCCCCAGGCTCCCAGGTCACAATGATGACATTGCATCATTATTGTCAGTGTTAACTTATCAGGCTGAGTTTCCAAGCAGATGGATTCACTTCTTAGGCCACAGCATGTCCTGTACTTACAGAGTGGTCCAGACCAGGCCAGTACAGCTTTAAATTGTGTCAAATGCTTCCCAATCTTTTGTATATAACAGCACCCACACACAAATGGTAACATTCATAGCACACAATGGAGCAAACAGAAGAGGTTACTTCTGGCTCCAAGATATCTGAGAGGTTTGAGGGGATCATTATCTTGGCACATCTGTATTGTGACACAGGGATTAAGACCTAGTCTAACCAATTCTTTCCTTCCCCACCTCCTACCACCTTTAGAGAAGCTGCTGGTAGCCTGGACTGAGGTGGGGCTGCCTCTCCAGGATGTGTCTATGGCTGCCTGCAATTTCTGTCACCGGCCTGTGCACTTTGAGCTTATGAGTGAGTGGGAACGCTCCTACTTTGGAAACATGGGGCCCCAGTATGTCACCACCTATGCCTGAGAAGCCAGCTGCCTGAAAGCTCCACCCCATCTGCACTTCACTTCGGACTGAGCCTCCTCCTATCCTCTGCTTTATTGTGTGCCTCTAGCTGACTTCAGTCTAAAAATAAACAAATAACAAACTGCAGCATTTGTAGCCCTTTATTAGACAGAAAACTGCATATCTGACTCCTTCAGATGAGTGGCAGCGCCATGAGGAAAATCCAGGGACTGACTGACTCATTAATGGTAGACCTGGACACAATAGGCCCATGTAGCCCCTGAAGTCAGGAGATAGAATCAGCCCTAACTGAACTATCTGGAAGAGAGGAATAGTTCCCCAAAACTTTGGAGGTATTATCCAGCAGACAGAATGGATGTCCTCTTTCTTTTCCATAGTACCTTGTAGAACAGGACTTACCAGCTCTATTTTCCAAGGTGGGAAAGAGACTTGGCTATAGCAAACAACTTTTTCAAGGCAATGCTCCCAATCTTTCCAGGCCATAGCACACAGAAAACATTTGCATGGCACTCCTGGGTGAACTAATGACACCACTTGCTTAGGAGGCAATCTCTCCTGACATTTGTGCCCTGCTTGGAAACTCTAAGGCCATTTCTTTCCACTCTATAATACATTTGTGGCAACTGTGGAACACACCAGTTGGGAAGTGCCAGTTTAAGGCTACACAATCCACCTGAGCTTTCTAACACACCACACCCACCTCCCTTGCTGATCCAACATCAGCAGTGCAAGGAACCCCTACAACTCAACAGAGCACCTTTATAGTGAATACCACTCTTCCTTCCTCCCCTCTCTCTAGGAGTTGTATCATCAGGCTACAGGCCGCTGGGAAATCCAGTGTTGAGATAATGTCTCTAACTCAACTTCATGGAGCATATCCAAATTGTGTACATGACATGGTATGCTAAAATAAAAACAGACTTTATTTAGGCACAGATATATTTGTCAGCAAGGAATAAAGGGGTTTAAAACCAACTTTCTACGGCAATTGGTTCCTGTGTACTTCTGACAGGAAGGTGGGAAGCACATTGGGGAATTGGGTCACAGCAATAGGGCACAAACAAGTAGCTCACCAATGAGGAGGAGCTAGGCAGGAAGAAGAAAGAGTAAGAGAGGCCTTAAAGAAGGAAGAGGAAGAGAAAGAGGAAAGGGAAGGGTCCTTGAGGAAAGTGGAAGAAGAGGAGGAGGACTTGGGGGAGGAAGAGGTAGCCTAGGAGGGGGCTGGCCTGAGTATGTACAGGGTTAACCATGATAGATATCCCTAGGCCTGGGTTGATTCAGCTGGGCCTGCTCCAGAGAAAGAAGTTGCAGCGGGAGGAAGGGTCAGTGGGAGGACCCTGGGGCCTGGCACAGATATAGAAGTGGCGGCCCAGGTTGGGTCCTGGCTTCTTCACAGTTCGCCTCACACATGGCTCCCTGTGGCCCCTACAGAGGGGCATGGACAAGGGCCCCCCTAGCACAGACTTCCAAAAAGAGGTCCGTATCTCCTTCTCATCCTTGGCGTCTCTAGCACTGGCCTGCCCCTCTACCACTTTGGCCATCAGCTCCTTTTCTGACGTCTTTGGGGTCACGAGGGCACCCACACTAGGAAGTTCCAAGTTAGGAGAAGCTTGGGGATGGCTGGAAGATGGCTGGAAGTAGCTTGTCAGGTTTTTTTGGCCTCTGCTGGAGCCAGCTTGACTTGGCCGAGGCCTGGTTGAGCGCACACGGGCTTTGTTTTGGTGCATCTGTACCTGGGTTTTATTGTTGAGTTTCAGTGCTGAATGCCTGAACATAGGATCTTTGAGATGAACTAGGAAGCGACGGATCTTGAGCTGGGTGCCTGCAAACTCAGGGAGGAAGCGGGTACACAGAGGTGGGCACTCTTTTGCTGGCACAGAGGACACACTCAAGACTGCACCCACAGGGCAATGGTCAGAACCCATCACCTCAGGCAGTAGGAAGGAGTCCTGGAAAGTGTCTATTACCAGGGTCCGGTCCCCCAGCACATAGTCAAGCCGGGAGCCATAATTCAAATGCCGGGCACCACTGACTGCTGACCAGCAGGTGAATGCCCCCTCCTGCTTTGGCTGGAAGCAGCGGTAGCTATCAATGAATGGCCCCACATGAGACCCAGTCTGGCATCCCAGGCTACTGAGCAAGCCGTCCATCCACTTGCGCCCTGGGTCCTCTTCAAAGCATTCCTGGCAAAGGGGAAAGAAGAAAACAGGCAAAACTAGATGCCTAGACCTGGAAGAGACTTAAAACCAACTGCTTCATTTTTCAGATGAGAAAACTTGATTGTTCCAAAGAAGACTAATACTCAGGGTCACACAGTCCAGAACTGGCAGAACTGGGATTCAATTTCCATCCTTACTTATTTAAAAGCCCATGTTTGTTTTTCCTTCTGTATCAGGTTACATTTGCCTCGCATTGATCCATAAATGCCAAATCTGAAAGCTTGTTTGCTTAATCAAAGCAATTCTCAAACTGCTCCCAAAAGGATGGAAAGCAGAAAGCTAAAAATGGTTACCTCTAGGAAGTAGGACTGGGATTAGGAGTTAAGACTGTTACCCTTTTCATTTAAACCCTCTGGAACAATTTGTCTTATCTTGTGTGTGTCAGAGGCCTCACAGACCATCTTCCCACTACCCCACCAACTCCTCAGATGAGGAGCTCCACAAATCTATGCCTAAGTATTTCCTTTGGCTCTGATCCCCAACTCATCCATCCATCCAATCCCCCTGCCCACCCACTCATTAAATGAAAAACGTTCAAAGAACACAGATTATTTGCCAGGCATGATGCTAGGGACAAAGTAGAAACCTGAACTCATCCTGAAAAGTGATCTAGAGCTGGGAAGTGAAGGCTGAGCAAGAGCAAGCCAGGCAGAGGGTGTTATAAATTGAGAGGGCAGCCTCTGTAAGGGGCCTGTGGAGAGAGGGAGCAGTGTACCCAAAAGACTTGAGGGGAGACCAGACTGAGGACCAGCAGACCAGTAGGATAACTATCATAGTCCATGCAAGCAAGAGAGGATAATCACTCAGACTAGGGTAGGGCCTGAGGAGACAAAGAGAAATGAAATTAAGAGATGGTTTGAAACTAAAGTCAATAGTACTCACTGATCAATTGAATGTGGGATGGAGGGATAGAAAAGAACAATACTAACACAACTCCCAGACTTCTGGTTGGAGTAGCCAAGGGGATAATGGTGCCATTTAGGGAGATGAAGAGCTGGGGCACCTGGCTGGCTCATTTAGTAGAACGTACAACTCTTGATCTCAGGGTCTTGAGTTCAAGCCCCATGTTGGGCATGGAGCTTATTTAAAAAAAGACTAAAAGAGCCAGTCTTTTAGGAAGTGGACATATTCTGCTATTTTGGAAAGTTTGTGCTTGTCATGTGACCTGGTACTATTAATTCTCTTTACCCAGAAGGAAGAAGACGTGCACTTTTGAGATCTACAATAGTTCTGAACAAAGAAGAAAAGGTATAAAGTTATATAAACTATCTCAGGAAGCAGAAAGAACAAACTGAGTAAATGCCTGATGAGGAATAAGGTAGGGAGGGACCGAAGGTTTTGTAATGTACAGTCTTCCCCACCACACACAACCACCACCATTCTTTCATTATCTCATTTCTGTTCATTTTCCCAGCTAGAAGCCACATCTATGTTTATGTGGCTCTTCTGCAAACTAATCAAGGAATCTTCCTACAGCCCCTTCTTTGAGCCATGCCCAATACTGAGTTGGACTATTCCAGCATAAATTACTGATCACTCCCCTTTATAAGGCAAATTGGGAACTGGCTTATAGATTCTAGTCAAGCTTGACTGTACAATAAAATCAGCCTAGGACCTTTTAAAACATACTGCTGCTCTGGCCCCACGCCCAAAAGATTCTGATTTAATTGGTCTGGGTGGCACCAAGATATTGATACTCTTGTAAAAGTTCCTCATTCTAATGTGCTATCGGGGTGAGAACCATCGGCCTAGAGGCACTCAGAGATGAGACATTCATATAAGAAAAAAAGACAGAATGGTACAGTGAGAAAGGCCAAAATGAGAATAACTTTTGCAATGGACTGAGAGGAGATGATCTGTCTGCAGTGGATGGAGTATGTAGGAGTACTGAGGATGGAAGTGGAGACTGGGCACAGACCAGAAAAAGTCTTCAATGCCAGGCCTAGATGTTTTCTCTGCACTGCACAAGTAACAGGGAGGTATTGAAGGCTCATGAGCAAGAAACCAGGGAATATTAGGGAAATGATCAAGGCAATGTAGAGTTCAAGGACCTTGAAATCTGGCCCCCAAAGGACTCTCCAGCCCCATCTCTGGCCACTCACCTCCCTTTCCATGTCACTGCCTAACAAGAATGGGACTTGCAGTTCACCATGCACACCAGGCAAATTCTCACCTTGCAGCCTTTGCTCATGCTAGAATGCTTTGCTTTCTCCACCCCAAAGCTCTGTTCTACTTATCTATTAAAATCCAACCATTTCCAGGTGCCTCCCTAATGTCTATGTTGGCTCAGGAATCCCATTTCTCCAGGCACGCCTAGACTCCTGGCCTGCCATCTCTGCTTCAGCCTGAAGACACCTTTCTGTAATTGGCTGTTCATATGTCTATAGTCCATCACCATGCTGAGCCCTCTGAGGGTCCAAGAGCCAGTACTGACTGGTAACTGAATCCCCCACACATGGCTCAAGACCAAGCCAAGGGCAAGATCAGTAATGTCTTCTGAATGAATAATCCTCAGTGCTTTTAGAATAGTATTTCAAACTAAGCTCTGCTTTTCCATGAAGGAAGCTATCCTTGGCCCCAAAATCCAGCATTGGTTGGTTGGCTAAACAGAAACCCAATCAGAAAAAAAAAAGAAAAAAGAAATGAGGCAGGGGCCTAGAAGAGCCTTACCAGGTTGACTGCATCCCAGTGGTCAATGGGGCGGTGGGCTGTATTCAGGTCACCCAGAATGATCACATGGCTGAAAAACATGATATGGGATTATCAACTAGACATTCAAGAAAGGGAAGCAATAGTTCTGGCCCATGTACTTTCCCCTGGGCCCAAGAGCTCAGATTGGCCACTTCCCACCTTGAGGCCAAGGTGGGAACCCACAGCAATGCATAGCAGCCTACCTCTCCAATCTTACCACAAGATTACCACATTTTATGTCTGACCAACCCAATTCTGATCTCCAAAGATGACATCATTCCCTATTTGACACGACTGTCTTACTGATCTCTACCTAAGGCATCTTTCTGGTCCTTCAAAGTTGAGCTCAGGTACTACTTCTTTTAGGAAGCAACCCTTGATTACTCTAAGCCACCCTCACTTTCCTGTCCTTCCCTGGGACAAGACTTTTCATTTGCTTCCAGGCACTTTTTCTTTGTCTCATTCCATCCTTAAAATTATTCTGTGAGGTAGGAATTCATACATTACTTAACAAAAGAGAAAATAAAACCAGAACTAGACTTGGGGCTCATAGTGAGTAAAAGGAACCAGAATAGGTGCTCAGAGGTATCTGAGAATAAAACCCATATTTGTATCACTTTTTCTGGTCCTTACAGCTCATACAGAGCAGGGCCCATTCAGGTAGGCATGCTGGTGTCTCCATCTAGGCTTTAAAGGACCTCAAAAGACAAAGACCCCATATTCCTTCCAATAAAGCTTGACACCTAAATAGGCTGTGTACCTAGAACAAGCTCAAGTACTTCCCAGGTTTACAATACCTGCCAGCTGCCAGGAGGGCTTCTGCTCGGATCTTCAGCAAGCTATAGAAGCGCATCTTAAATGCCAGCCGCTCAGGTTTCCCAGGGTCCGCGTGGGGGCAGTACACGTTGATTAGGGTCAAGATCTTCTCTTTCCCTTCCCATGTGCTGGGGAGAAGAGACCGCCCCCCAGCCAAAAAGGTCATTTCCAAGCTTTCCCTCCCCATACCATGTGGATTCCACTTAATGGCTGTCTGTGGGATGGATGTGAAGAAGGCAACAGAAAGACATGAATGAGCTGGCATGCACAGGACATGGGGACTGACTACAGATAAGGCAAAAGAGACAGGCATCTAGAATGACCCCCAGGTAAACCACATGATGGTGCTGCCATTCACAACAAGACACCCAGAAAGAGAGCAACCTGGGAGTGATGAGTTGCCAAGTTGCTTTTGAGGTGCCTGGGTAATAAGAGAGCTGGACCTCCTGCAGTTCCCCACTGTAGAGATGGGGAACTCAAAGCTCAGAAGGGAACATGACTGGCCCAACGTCACACAGTGAATAGCCCAGATAGAACTAGAGTCCAAGAAAGGCAAATTTGGGAAGTTTTCCATGAGTACATGTTTTTTAAGGCAAGCCTCAGAATCACCATACTCAGAGTAGAAGCAGCAATGCTCAGTGACAGGGGGATGTGAACTATTACCGGATTTTGTGCTGTGTGAGAAGGGCCCGGCCCTCACTATCCAGAGCCCGAAGCTCCTCCTGGGTGAATTCATCCATGTTTCCATAGCAACCCACGTCCCCCTTCTGAGTGGCAAGTAGGCCACTGAGGCCTTCTTCAGCAGCCACAGGGGTAGCGCTGTCCTTACAGAAGGTGGCTACACCTGGAGACAGACAGGGTACTCTGAGCAGACCTAGAAGCCAACAGCCTATTGCACAGCTTGTTGTCCCCACACAGGTCACCTTAGACATCTTCATCAAGTGTTGCTGTAATGACAACCCTCCCAACTCAAGGGCCATGGATGGCTCCAAGAGCCCAAGGCAACTCTACTCAAACCATGGAGTCTGAGTTCCTTCATCTAAAAAAGCCACAGAATTAATAAGTTAATATTCTAAGTGTTTTACATGGACACGTGGTAAATACCCAAAAAGTGTTAGCTATTATTATCACATGGCCTAATTTGTTTAATCCTTGTATAGGCATACCCCAATAGATTGTGAGTTTAGTTCCAGACCACAATAAAGCAAATATTGTAATAAAGCGAGTCAAATGAAATTTATGGTTTCCCAGTGCAGATAAAAGTTACGTTGTTACTATGCTGTAGTCTATTAAATGTATAACATTTTGTCTAAAAAAATCAATGTATATGCCTTAAGTAAAAAATACTTTATTGCTAAAAAGTGCTAACCTGTTAACCTGAGCTTTTACCAACTTGCAAGCAGTGATCACAGATTACCATAACAAATGTAATAAAAATGTTTGAAATATTGTAGGAATTACCAAAAACTGACAAAGAGACATGAGGTGAGCAAGTGTTGCTGGAAAAATGGTGCCAAGGGACTTGTAACACAGGATTGCCATAAAACCTTCAACTTACAAAAAATGCAGTATCTGGGGCACCTGGGTGGCTCAGCTGGTTAAGTGTCTGACTCTTGATTTTGGCTCTGGTCATGACCTCACAGTTTCTGAGATCGAGGCCCTCCCATGTTGGGCTCTGTGCTGTCAGCATGGAGCCTACTGTGATTCTCTCACTCTCTCTCTGCCTCTCCCCTGATCGCATACACTCTCTCTCAAAATAGATAAACATTAAAATAAATAAATAACACAATACATGCAAAACACAAAGTGTTTTATATATATATGTATATTTATATATAGATATGTAAATTCATGTTATATATTTATTTACATAGAAGTTTATATATTAGTATTATATATACATATAATATATACATACATATATACATATAATATACATGCATACTATATATACATACAAAACAAAGTATGCCTATACTAGCCCTAGGAGGTAAGCATTATCTCCCATTTTTCAGCTGGAAACATGAAGCATGTAGAGGTTGAGTAACTTGCCAGAGGGTACACAGCTAGGAAGTGAAACAGGATTCAAACCCAGGCAGTCTGGCTCTAGAGCTCATACAATTTACTACCACATGATTGCTTCCAAAGTCCAATAGAATAATTTTATACATAAAAACTATCCTTCACATAATCTTATGTGACTTTAGCTCTGCGGATTAAAAGCCTGGGGACCTTCAACATTGAACAGAATTAGGGGATGCAAAAGACGCAGGCCAGAGCCACTGCCCTCACCATGACCCATGGTAACCAGCTAGCTCACCAGCCAGAATATGAAAAAGCAGAGTGAATAGGTTAAGGGAAAGTCCAAAGAATGAGAATGACAGGCTTCTGCTGCTACCCGCATGCAGAGGGACTCCGAGATCATTAAGCAGAAGCAGAAAAAGGCTAAGGAGAAGAAGGAGAAATCCATGTATCTTTGTGTCCAATCCTCTTGCCCTTCCCTGTGTGCCTGGAGCCAGCCCCACCAAAGTTTGCCTTTTCTCACAGGTTCCAGCACAGATGGCATTCCCTTTGCCCTGAGTTTGCAGCATGTCCCTTTTGTACTTCCTTCCCCTCAGGTAGCCTCTTTCTCCCCTGGATCACCCTGGGGGTGAGGGGGTTACACCTTCCCAGTATTTTTATTCCTGTGGGGCTTACCCCAAAGTATTAAAAGTAGCTTTGTAATTTCAAAAAAAAAAAAAAAAACTTAAGAAAAAGCCCGAGTTTCTTACGACCTTCTCATCAAATATTGGAAAACTCCCCCGGAACTGCCTCCATCACTCATTTTAAGTTCCCAGAAAGCCCCATTTACCAGAATAGCCACTGCGGCTGCGGCTGAAGCTGAAATAGGAGTTATAGCCCTCAGTGATAGCCAGGGGCTCTGTCAGCACATCCCCTGCAAAAACAAACAAATAAACAAACAAAAGGAAAAACCCCTAAAGTAAAGCCCCAGATACACAAAGGTCTGTAATTAACAGTTGTAGGCTAATTCCTTACACATATCAGAGCCAGAGTTGGGAGGAAATATCTATGATTAGAGGAGAAGCTAGAAAGGCAGGGACTAGAGAAGAAATTGATATAAGGAGGGGGAGGCTATGGAATGTGAGGAAGGGAATTAGGCGAGAGGAAGCTAACGATTAGGTTAATGGAGGGAGCTGGAGGTGGGGAATGGGAATATGGGAGACGGAACTGGGAATCTGAGCTAGGAATAGGAGGTATGAGAGGGAGGCAATTAGAGGATCTGAATTGGGGATGGAGGGAAATGTAGTTAGAGGGTCTTAGAGGGGGTGCATGGGAGAGGGAAGGAATGGGGGTGTTGAGCTAGGGTGTGTGAGAGAGGTAATTTAGGGGATCTAATCTTGGGGTGGGACATGTGATAGAAATGATATAAGGTTCTGAGTCTGGGAAGGAGAGATGGGGGTAGAGAAATAGGGGACGTGAGGGGAGAACTGAGGATCTGAGATGGAGAGGTAAAAAGGAAGGAATTAGATAATCTGAACTGAGGGCAAAGGTGGGGTGGAAATTAAAGGATCTGAGCTGGGAGCAAGGAAGGGGAGTTGGGGGATCTAATTTGAGAGTTGGAGCTGGACAGGGTGTGGAAATTGGAAATTTGGAGTACTGATCTGGGACAGGATAATGAGTGCAAATTAGGGGATCTGAGCGAGGATGAAGGTTACAAGGGTGAGGGAATTAAGGTTCTGCGGAGGACAGGAGATGAAGTGGGAATTAAGACATAAAGCTGGCGTGACAGATAGGAGTTTAAGGGGGAGGGGATCAGGATTCTGAACCGTGTCTAAGAGGACTCTACTGATAGAGAAATAGAAAGTAAAATGATAATAAGTAGGGGGCAAAAGTTAGTAGAAAAGGTAAAGTATGGTATGGGTCCTGGACTTCTGAGCGCTCACTGGTCACTTTCGTCTCCTGAAAACACACGATGTCGGCGTCCAGCTTGTCCAAAATGCGCCCCACGACCATGGCGGCATAGTTGCTGGGCTCCTCGTATATCATCCCTTGCAGGGGGCTCCGGATCCCATTGACGTTCCAGCTCACCACGCGCAACATCTTGACTGCAACGCCTCACAGTCCGCGCCCAAACTAGGGGCCACAGGTCGGCGGGACACCCTCAACTTGGCCAAGTTCTGCCTTCCGCGCGTAATGGCGCCTGCGTTCTCCTGCGCGCCACAACAGCGTCGTTGAAGGTTGGGGAGGGCTTTGAGTTCCTCAAGTTCTTATTGGCGGGAGGAGCGGAAGCTGAAGGGTGTGGTGCAAATCCGTGGGTGGAATGAATGGCAGGAGAAAGCTCAGCAGTTAGGCTCATGCTCCTCCCGTCGTTCACTGGCGTCAGACTTCCTTTCCTTGCTGCTCAAAAGCCCCCTGGGTGCCGCCAATTACTTACAAACGAGATTTCACCACTTTTTAAGCAGCGGAACCTTGAACGGAACCGCGCTGCGACTGAAGCCCCGTCCCTAGTGCGACTGCCCCCTAAGTGCGCTGCTGGCTGTGTCACTGACGTCCTGGCAGTAATGGCTGTAACTGTGCTTGGGTAGGAGAGGGGAGGCGGGAAGGACACTGCGCGGCTAGAGGGAACAGGAAGAAGTACATTAGTGGAATAAGATTTAGGATTAGGCTCCTAGCTTTGAAGGGCAAGGAGAGAGGAAGGGAGGAAGCTGTCTCAAACCCACCTTATAGCCAGTATGTGTCTTATAATGCCTTATGACATTCCTAAGGACATGGCCCAACACATACTTTTTATAGGCTCCATTTCTCAGATTAGTAAAATCGAGGACCAGAGAATTTAAGTGTGCCACCCAATCTCCAGAGCAGCACTGTTTCCCAGTGTAGCCCGTAGCTCTTCCATATACATTATTTGTTTCATTCGCTGGGCAACCCTGTAAGGGGTATTAAGGCTAAGTATGAGAGAATGAGTGAATTCATCTGTCTCACAGAAGTGGTAAAGCCAGGATTCAAACACTACCTTAATCACCTCAAGGAATACTTTCCTGAATAAGTTTTTCCTAACACCCATACACCACACTTCCCCAGTTAGATCTTTTCCTCTGGGCCCCCACAGCTCCCTCTGGTCCATTCTGTCACAGCACTTATCACAATACACAGCTACCATTGATTTCTGTTTTTGTCACACAACTTCCAGCAACTTGACAGCATTGGCCATGTCTGATTCATCTTGTTAGCCCCATCCTCTAATCTAGGGGACAGCATATATTAGGAGTCTATAAATATTTCCTAACTGAATGAACAAACACAGGACAAATGCAAAAACATGTTAGTGACATGTTTTTCAGAACACACAATATAACTAATAGACATGCCTAATGTCCAAGGAAAAGCATGACTTTGCAGTCTTAGGTTCCTCACCCCAAATTGCAACATGATTATTTTTCCCCAGAATTATTTTATAGTCTTAGAGCCATAATCCTCAATGTCTGCAGAAAAGACCCAAAGAGCTGCTTTTCCTCCTAGAGGACTTAAAGGTTACCTTCCAGTTATTGCCATCAAGATAAATAGCTCTGCAATTAAAATAAAAAAATTTGTTGCTTTGAGCTTTTTCATGCTTTGGTGGTTATTGGCTCAGGATTGAGTCCCAGGAGTGGGATAACTAGGACAAAGGAAATTAACATTTTTATTGCTCTTCTTTCGTATTGCCAAAGCACTGCCCAGTAAGAGTTCATGTCCATTTACACTGAAGACCAATTTGAAACCCAGCCCCGAGGAAATCCAGATCTTGCCTGTCTCCATTGCTGGTTTTAATTTACCCATTTTGCAGTTGCTTGTTAATATTAGTTCTGACCTTTGGTGCAAGGAGAACACATGGTTGGCCTGAAGAGTAAAGGCTCCGGGTGGCTCACGAACTTCTTTGATAACTAACAGCTGATATTTCAACAGAGGGCACACATGCCCCTCTTACCCAGGGTACTTCCCTAGCCTTTCCAAGGAAACAACCAATGCCTCCAGGCTCTCTCTTTGATGCCACTCATGGACTTGCTTTGAGGGTCTAAATGCAAGAAAGCTGTGTGTTGGATAATTAGCGATGGAAGAAAAAACCTCTAGGAGAACAGGTAGGTGAGACAGAAGGAAAAATAGATGGGGTTACACAAACCCAAATCCATTCTTCAGGCTCTCTGGAAAGTTTTCTTTACATAGGGATTGCTTGAAGTGTGGATTAAAGGGTATGGAAGAGTTGGAGAAAAGAGGATATCTATGTCTAATTTATGTATGTATGTATGTATCTATCTATCTATCTATCTATTTGTCATCCATTCCCACCTGTCTTTGTGGGACACTGTCATAAAGATGCAGTTCCCTAACACCTTGAAAAGTCTAACTTTGTCTATTCCAGTTTTGAGTGAACTGGATGGTAGGAATTATATCTCTTACCTCCCCAATGGTGTATAAAGTAGGTCTGGTTTGCGGTGGCACTTTGAACAAGCTTTTCACCTTTTCTGAGCTTCAGTAACCTCCTTACTATAATGGAAGTTGAAGTCCTTAGGCTACTTCCTTCAGAGGGCTGTCTCAAGGTGAAGAGGAGTGGGAGAACAGGAATCGAATTTCTGGAGATGTTTCAGGACTTCATGCTCTGAGATTAGTGATCCTGCTTTTTTTCTCTAGCCTCCACAGGCAATACCACCACAGCCGTACAGCTGCTCTTCTCCCTGAGTGACTATAGTCTGTGGAGAATCACTCCTAGGACTACGATGCAGTGAGCCTTGGGCCCTAGGCATGGGGCTGAATATAGTGTGGGGGGGGGATAGTGGGCCAGGGAAGTGGCTAAGAAGGAAGTGTTACCTAGGCTGTTGCCACAGAAGGTCTGATACTCACATATAAACACCTAAACTGTAAGCATGTAGCCAATCTCCCCTCTACACCCTTACCCCCTATAAATGCATTCATACTCACATACTCCCAAGCATTACTAATAAGGAGATCCCATTTTGTGATTTTGTAACCCATCAGTATGGTCTTCTTTTTTTAAAAAAATTTTTAACATTTATTTATTTTTGAGAGACAGAGCGAGACAGAGCATGAGTGGGAGAGAGGCAGAGAGAGGTGAGTACACAGAATCCAAAGCAGGATCCAGGCTCTGAGCTGTCAGCACAGAGCCCGATGCGGGGCTCGAACCCACGAACCATGAGATCATGACCTGAGCCGAAGTCGAATGCTCAACTGACTGAGCCATCCAGGTGCCCCCCATTAGTATGGTCTTAATACTGCTTTTAATGGGATTCTCCCACATACCCCATACTTTGGGAGGATAGTCAGGATAAGTGGGCCTCAGGAAGTCACACTATGTAATTTTTCTTCCTACAGTTAACCTCATTTTAGAATTTGTGATAACCTCATTTTAGAATTTGTGACTCAGATCTGGGTCTTGTGTAAGTCTCTGATAGTGAACTCTTTTTTTGTAACCAGTTAACTGGACCTTTTTAGGGAAGGCTTTCATTCTTTTGTTTATTCTATTCTGCCCCATTCAAGGTTGAGAAACTTTCTAGATTCCACCTTCTACTTTTAGACCTAGTTTGCCCCCCCCCCCCAGTTCCCT